TGTAGACTGGAAAATTAAGATTTATGCCCAAGTGTCTCTAGAAATACTTAAACGGTTCTTTGTTCCAGGGAGCAGCATAACAAGCTAATCATTGATTTGTAAAGAGAGATTTTGTTCAATATTGCACACATTCAACTTACTGTTTATATGACCTGTGGTGTCCAGCTCTTAACCTCCTGCTGAGTAATAACTTAAAGTTAATTGACACTAGTTTAATACAGAAGGGTAAGCCAGAAGATAAATAAAAAATGCAGACAGGAGAACAAAAGACGATTATTTACTGGTTTGTGAATGTAAGGTACCTTGCATTTTAGACTTCTTGGGGAATAAAACATAGGGGATCTTCCAGTAAAAACATACTATATTTTCCAGCTTTTCTTTTTTTGTCATTCCTTGCCTACAGCTGTGTTATCAAGTCAAAATATGAAAAGAAAACACTACAGGCAAAGTGTGACATTAAGGCATTGTATACAATGCTAGAAAAGACAATTCATTTTTAATGGCAACTTCTTATAGTCATGATTTTTTTTTTTGCACTTTTTCATTACCTGGATACTTGAGAAAGTGGCAACAAAAAATAATATATAACAATAATAATCATTCAAATAATGGGATATAAAATAAGATCAATGTGGTGGACAACACAAAGTTGTCATGTGAACTTAAAAGACTACATCACACCTATGAAGCTTTTGATTTGCTGAAGTGCTCTATGGGTGCAGATTATCCCATTTCAATGGCACTTTATAAAAGTGCAGATTTCTAAGAACCCACCCCACATGCCTCCTTCTCAAATCAGAACGCAGTGCGGTGCATGCATGTATGAACCATTGCCATAGGCGTGCGCACGGGGTGTGCCGGGTGTGCCTGGGCACACCCTAATTTCCATGGCCCGCCTATGGATTGAGAGCGGCAGGGGAGATCCTGAGATATCCCCTGACGGCTCATGCAGAGCCGGGGCTATCCGAGGGCCGGCTCTGCTCTAAGCCTCCATCGACCGGTCGGGAGATCCCACAGCAGCATGGATAGAGGCAGGAGAGGACCCGGGGAGCTCTAGCCAGCAGCTCTGCCGGGTTCCTCTCGCGAGATTTGAGCATTGCCGCAGGCTAGAGTTCACTCTCCACTGGACCACCAGGGATGGCAGCGCACGGTCCCCCCTCCCTACATAAGGTAAGAAGGGAGGGGGGATATTTACTAATCTGCCCCCACCTCCACCCCCACAATCCCTCCAAACATACAGCACACACACAGCACCCTCGAACACACAGCACCCACACACACACAGCACCCTCACACACAGCACACAAACAGCACCCTCACATACACAGCACCCTCACACACACAGCACACAAACAGCACCCTCACACACACAGCACCCCCACACACACACACATCACACAAACAGCACCCTCACACACACAGCACCCTCACACAGCACACTAACACCACCCTTACACACAAACAGCACACTACCAGCACCCTCACACACAGCACACAAACAGCACCCTCACAAACAGCACACTAACAGCACCCCTACACACATAGCACCTACACACATACAGCACCCTCACACACAGCACACAAACAGCACCCTCACTCACACAGCACCCTCACTCACACAGCACCCTCGTACAGCACACTAACAGGACCCTAACAAACACACACACACAAAAACCTTCACACACACACAGCACACTACCAGCACCCTCACACACAGCACACAAACAGCACCCTCACACACAAACAGCACCCTCGTACACAGCACACTAACAGCACCCTCACAAACACACACGCACACAAACACCGTCACCCACATAGCACACTACTAGCACCCTCACACACACATCACACTAGCAGAACCCTCACACACAGCACCCTTACACACACACAGCACCCTTACACACACCACAGCACCCTCACACCACTCTCACACACACACAGCAGTGTATGTATGTGTGTATGTGTATATATATATATATATATATATATATATATATATATATATATATATATATATATATATATATATATATATATATATATATATATATATAATCCAAAATCCTGTTGTCTCCTTGCACACACACTTCAATAATTTAATGCCCGGTGCTGTCAAGCCAATGCCAAAAATATACAAAGATATAGGGAACAGAAGGCAAGCACTCATGGTCTTTTCTGGTCTCTTTAAAAGGATTTTCTTTATTTCATAGGTTAAAACTTGATTTGATCGACGTTTCAGCCAAGCTTCATGGCTTTCATCAGGATCTTAAGCTGTTAAGATCCTGATGAAAGCCTGAAACGTCGATCAAATCAAGTTTTAACCTATGAAATAAAGAAAATCCTTTTAAAGAGACCAGAAAAGACCGTGAGTGCTTCCCTATATCATATATATATATATATATATATATATATATATATATATATATATATATATATATATATATATATATATATACATATATATATATACATATATATACATATACACACATACATACATATACACACAACATGTGTTTGTGCTTTAGGGTGCACACCCTAATGCAATAGGCTGCGCACGCCTATGCCCATTGCACACATATAGCAGGTGCAGGTGCACACACAAAGTTAGAATTTCAGAGGCTTCTCAATGAGAAGCCTCTGATTGGTTATTTCAACATGAAGAAACTGTTAGTCTTTTCCGGGGGGAAAGGGAAAAGCTTGCAAAGGCTGCAGTTTGTAGGAACTGCAGCTTTTGCAAGTTCTTTTATACATGTGTACTTGGAGAGGACTGCAGGTCTGCCTCCTTCCCACAGACTTTAGCCCTGGCCTGGAATGGGGTTCTGTTTTGGGGAAGCAGGTACAGAAGGGCCATTCTAATTGCTTTCACCCCTAAAAAAAATAAAAAAAATGGAATCCTTTTAGTGAAATTCTTTTCAATGTCAAATGAAGATTAGCTGTAGCTGATGAGAAGATAAGGTGGTGGATTTTAGGGACTGACTTTGTTTTAAGCAATAAATACTCAGGGTCAGCTGGGAAGAATTTAACACACTAACTGCAGGCAGTTGGTTAACATTTAAAATCTACCATAAGGCAGCACAGGTAACCGGTTTAAAGCGCCCCAACATGTGGTACAAAATCAAGAATATCAAAGGGCTCGTTTTCAATCTTGTTGCTACTTTTTTTACCAGCCACAAGCTGCTCTTTAAACGGTGTGTCACTACTTTCAGTGAGTAACGACTGTTTACCGACTGCAAAATTTCATGTGTAGTTCCAGTTTGCTATTACTAAAACAGTACGCTAAAACAGTCGCTAAGTAGTGGTTAATAGCTTTGCAGTTGAGTGCCTCGGCAGATAAGCTTAATTTTCTTCTAGCCAATTGACTCATTGTAAAGCTATGCTTTGTCAGTCATATATGGCAAATTTCTACTTTAAAACAAAAAGGATAACAGCAGAGAAACAACTAATATATTTTTGTTCAGTGCTTAAAGGGATTCTATAGTGCCAGGAAAACAAACCCGTTTTCCTGGCACTATAGATTTCTAAGGTTCCCCTGTCTCTTGCACATCCCCTACATGTTTTATATTGCAGCACTATGAGCTAAAGGGACACAGCATCCAGACCACTTCAATGAGCTGAAGTGGTCTGCGTGCCTAAAGTGTCCCTTTAAGCCTGTGAACTTGATAGCAAGTCTACTTGCTCCCCTTTTTACAACTATATTAAACTCAGGGCATTATACCTGCCAAATGCCAGCTCTAAGGATTACAATTAAAGGGACACTATAGTGACCAAAACAACTTTAGCTCCATGAAGCAGTTTTGATGTATGGATCATGCCCCTCCTGTCTCACTGCTCAATTCACACCCATTTAAAAATAAAATGGTTTTATTTTTAATCAGATGTAACTTCCTTTAAAAGTTATCTCTCGCTTTGTTAATTAAACTTTAATTGCATACAGAAGATTCCTGCACTATATAGCAAGTCATTAACAGAGCAGGAGATTAAAAAAAAAAACAAAAATTAAATTAATCATAATTTGCAATAAAGGAAGTGTAAACATTACATGACTCTTTACAGGAAGTGTTTAGGAAGAGGTGTAAATCACATGCCGGGAGGTGTGCCTAGGGCTGTACAAACAAAGTAATCTAACTTCTAAATTGTAGAGAATTGAGCAGTGGGACTACAGAGGCATGATCTGTACATCAAAATTGCTTCATTAAGGTAAAGTTGTTTTGGTGACTATAGTGTCCCTTTAAGGTGAGTATCATAGAAGTTGTACTCCAGAGCAGTTTGAATTGCAGACATTTTGTATTGTTGAAAAGTATTTTTATTTTAACTTTGTGAACTGAACATATTCCCATGTATTCATTTTAAATTAGCAAGTGGAACCTAACAAAGCAATGTGTATTTATGTTGGAGTGAGATACATATGTTTAATGTTTAAACAGGGTCAGTATTAGGGAAGATGAAGCCTGGGGCATAAAACAGAAATATTACAATTCCTTAATTTCACCATAGATGCTGTTAAAAAAAAAAAAAGAAAGAAAGAAAAGAAAATGAGAGAAGTATCTCACTTTGATATGCAGATGATTATTGCCGTGGATTACAGCCCTATGGCCCTGAGTGGATCAATTAGTATTCATATCACTAGCACATAACTAAGAAAACATCAAACTTCGTAAAAATGCACACCATTTCTAGGAACAAACATATGAAATGAGGGGGCCAAGGGCAATTGCAGTCTTTGTCTGTTCCTTTCTTTTTAAACAAGCTTTGCCTTTTAATGCTGTATTTCCTCTGCAATGTTAATATTTAATATGTAGCAGGGACGTCTGATATATAGAGATGTAGAAAAACGTTATTGCACCTGCTGACATGTGATATGTTTAATGTGCCGGAGGGTGCAGGTTGTGCTAAAAATGCATTAGGCTGGAGAGAAAGGGAGGTCTGTTAATGTATTACAGTATTTCTCAGAACGACATGTCGGGAAATCGGAGTAACGCAGTCTGACTACCAACGTATCTGATTGTGTGCAGCTCCAGAAGAGAGAGAAATCTCAATAAACTATGACTCCCCAGTCCATTACTCTACACTTCCAGCTGCTTCTATGTGACTTAGGAAGTGTTCTAACAGAAATTATATTGAAAGGGACAAAGTAGGTCAATGATGGCTAACCTCTTGCTTGCGGATCCTCAAGAAAATTGTAGTTCAGGAAAATGGAGCACCAGAGATTAAACACCAGCAGTCTACAGGCAGCAGTGTGTGAGTGTATATATACTTACATTTCAGATCTGTATATAAAATATACATATTACAAATGATGATATAGCATTCATATTAAGGCATTATTATTACATTTCACAGAGTACGTTCAATTTACAAGCACGTAGTGAAAGAAATCGAGCTTATAATTTAATGCGAGCAGTGTATATCAAAAAGGATAACATGCATTTTATCGAAAAGGAGAGAAAATTTCTACATATCTGTACATTTACATAAGCTGAAAAAAAGAAACGCCCATCAAGTTAAGCATTTTTCACAAGTGTTTCTGCTGTTGATCCAAAAGAAGGCAAAAAAAAACCTGTTTGAAATCCTTTACGATTTTGCAATTTTTCTCGACCCCAAATTGACAGTCAGACCTCTCCTTGGATGAAGAAGGTCTAACCCCACATTTTAAATATCATATCCTTGTATGTTACGCTTTTGCAATAATTCATCTAGTCGCTATTTAAAAAACCTGCACAGATTCTAATAAAACCATCTCTTCAGGCAAAGAATTCCACGTTATTATTGTTTTCCTTCCTTCCTTTCTTCCAGTCTAAATGTGTCTTGTGTCCTCTGTATAGTCCTATTTAGGAACAGATTTCCAGACATTTTTTATTGTCCCTGAATATATTTGTATAATGCTATTATGTCACCTCTGAGGTGCTGTTTTTCTAAACTAAGCAGATTTAAATTTGTTAACCTTTCTAAATAACTAAAATCTTCCATTCCATTTATTAATTTTTAAGTCTGCTTGTGCACTTTTTCTAGTGCCATAATATCATTCTTTAAAACAGGTGCCCAAAATTTCACAGCATATTCAAGATGTGGTCTTACCAATGATTTGTAAAGAGGCAAAATTATATCTTCATGCCAAGAAGTAATGCCGTAGTATATTGTTGCCTAGTCTGTTGTCTATAACTTTCCCACATCCTTATCATTTGTTGTTTTCTCTAACCCACTACCATTTGGGGTAGTGATTATTGAGTTCTTACCCTGAAGTGCACTATAGCATTTATCTTCTTTAAATTGTGTCCAGTCCCCAAATAATTATTATTATTTATTATTTTATTATTTATATAATGCCATCAGATCCTGTAGTGCTGTACAATGGGTAATCTAGTAATATTCTTCTCACATTATATTACCTTACCTTGTTTTGTGCCATCTTTAAAGACTGAAACATGGCTTTCAATGCCTATTCCAAGATCAAGAGGCTGTTCTCTCCAGTGAGAGGGTCAAGGAGACTGAGCACTGGGGGTGCAAAAGGAAAGCAGTCAAGGCTGGCTTGGAGCACTTGGAGTGTGGAAAAGAGAGAGAATGTTTGTTTCTCTCTTGAAGGGCTGGAAGCAGCAGGCTGACTAAACACTGGAGTGCTGAGAGCTAACAAAGAGACTAGGTTGGTGAAACCAGTATTATTTTGTTATAGTTTAACCCCTGAGAGATAGGGAACCTGGTGTTAGTTAGTGCTCAGATGAGCTAGGTTTTTGTTTCTAGGGATTTTGTTACATTATTGTTTGTTTCATTTACTGCTGTCTCTTGTGTGAGTTTAACAATAAAACTGCCTGGATTATATGCAAACTAAAGGACTGTGCCTGTTGTTTACCCTAGAGGACCGTGCTACCTGCAGACAAGGATCACAGTAGTTTGATGTTTGAATGCAGGGATGTATTTGTGTGCAGTGTTAGCGAGATGCTCAGATGTATGCTCATATATATATATATATATATATATATATATATATATATATATATATATATATATATATATATATATATATATATATATATACACACACACATACATATTGACACACATAAAGATACACAGACACACAAGTACACACACTGACACACATGCAGATATGCAGACACACATATACACACATTGATTAACATGGAGATACATAGACACACAGACCCACACACACACACTGACACAGATACACAGACAAAGAGGTAGACATATAAAGATAGACAGTCGTACAGATACACAGACACACCGATACAGTCCCTGACACACATACAAATACTCAGACATACAGATACACTCACTGACATGCATAGAGATAGATAGACACACAGATCCAAACACTGACACACATGCAGATACACAGACACACAGATACACACACTGACATGCATACAGAAACACAAATACTGACATATATAGATATACATTTTTTAAATTACATGTTTTTGTAAATCCTATGAGCATTTGCTTTTTTAAAATCTATTTCAAATGACATCATATTGTAACCACTATTTGCCAAGTGCTTCCTTGTCGGCAACATGCCAGGCTCGAGCACCCAGGAGAGAGCAAACTGTCTGGTTATACTATATAAATTATATAATACATTTTATATATATATATATATATATATATATACTCTATAATAATACAGTTCCCTACCACCACAACCTATCAAGCCTTTCTTACATTCTTGTTACCACCCATTGTTACCCTGGCTGTTAGAAGGAACAGCTTCCTCCAGTATAGCTAATCCTTAAATGATGCTCCCAAAACTTTCAATCAAATGAACAACTCCGCTAGGCTACACAAAATCAGGACTAACCAAACATTTTCTCTTCCCTTCTCCCAATTTTATTACAATTTTTATATTATTATATACTCTATTTATTGTATTGGGATATGTTACTCATAGTATATGATTAACGCAGATATAAGGAGGGAACATTGTGTGACATGGGACACAAGTATATAGCAGTAGGTAAAATACTCTTAGGATTCCATAAAATTGAATAAATAGATTTTAGAGATAATAAATGGCAAAGGAAACAAGCACACTGATTGGATGAGCTGAAGCCTTTCATATGACTTCTAGAACCCTAGAGAAGTTATACTAAGTTAGATCACAAACCGTTGACTCGGGAGACCAATGTGAGCTGTATGTGCTATTAAGTATGTAATTTGGGGTATGGTTGTAGTTTATGGGGAGAATGTGGGTTTTAAAAACAATAATTTTTCAATCATTTTTGATCATTAACCATTGATCTTAGCAGGGTACAGTATCTGAGTCCATGAAAGCGAAAACTGACTTCCCATAAATAAATACCAAACCGGATGAAAAAAGAAGTATATATTTTGTGTGAATTTAAAAATACAGCAAAGTGAAGATGTTAAAATAAAGGAGCACCAATGAACAGTGCTTCATTGGTTGTGCAATGTTAATGTTTCAATAAATTGGCAGGATAATGAACAGAGAAAGGGTTTCGCCCTTGTGTGATCATACTGTACTTCCCCTGTCAACCTGCCTGTAGGGAATCTGAAGGTTAGCTTTGCTTTGATTCATAAGGGATAGGACTATATGCTTTGCAGTTATGATGTTCATGTTTTTAAATGTCAAATACATTTTGCTTCAAAATTCCCAGTGATACCAATTTTAGTGATCAAATTTATAAGAGAATGCACTGAGACACTGTATCAAACATGCTTTGCTATCACGGAAACAAACCATCAAAGGGTACATATAATGCAATATTAGAAAAATATCCCCATTTTTATTGTATTTGTATAAGCTTATTTTATTTCATACTTAGGAGCAGTAGAATTTGCTCTTTTTGTCTTGGTCAACTTTATTTTAGTTTTATGGAATTTTGTGTGAAGCTAAAACAGTGGTTCTCAATACATTAACATCTTTTTGGCAGACATTAAAGTAAATTCTGTGAACGGCATTTGTTTAGAAAATTAGTAAGAGTAATATAATTAACATTAATAAAACATATTTGACTCTTCCCAGTACCAAAGAGGTTTGCACTGCGCTAGAGTAAGCTATGCAACTACAGAAACTAGCTTATAGTGGGTACCTGATGACATTTTGTGCTTTTGTTCATACGAATGGGGATCCACTCAAATGACACACAGACACATTTTGGGTACAAATCCAGGGATTAAGAACTACTCAGCTACTGAGTTTCATATACTGTTAGACATTCCCCAACAGCCCAAAGCAGAACTCCTAAACTACTTCTATATGCATGAAGGCTAAATACTGTAAAATGTAGCAAACGAGTGTTGGTGGTATAAAAATATCACAAATAATATATTTTTTAAATGATACGTTGTCATCCAAAACCTTTTCTCGTCAGATCGACAGAAAATAGAACAATAAAGCATGTTGGGGTTTTCAAGGGTCCCTATAAGACTAAAAAGAATAATAAGGATTATTCATTCTTTCCACATCAATTGTGAGTATGTGAAAGCTGAACAGAATGTGTCTGGATAGATATCCTTTGATAAAGTAATCCCTGAGAGGCAGCTCACCCTCTATCTACACCTTGTTTACAAAAGATGGATGTTGAAATACCTGAAAAAAGGTACTACAGATGTAGTATGGGGGCATTTAGGACCAGGAACTTTGGAGCAGTACTAATTTTGGGGAAAAGATTTTGGCTGACTCTTAGGAAACCGTTTGTCAATGTTACCTATATATGACTTTGCTCACTGTAGCACAAGGGGATGAGATTGATAGATGAGGCATTGTTTTACCCCTTTGTGTATTAACTCCTTACTTGTTACATCCTATATTGCTTACTTTGGGCTTTAAGGTACCCATGTTCATTTTGTCAATTGCCACAATATCAAACATGGAATTTTGGGAGAATTGTCATGGAATCATGGAATTTAACAGTTTAGACCAAACATGTAAGCTTGTTTGAAAAGGTACTTCTTCAATGCCTTGGTTCTACTAACTTTTTTTTTATTTATTTTTTGTCAATTACCTATTTTATTTCCCCTTTTGGAAATAGTTGGAGAAACATTTTTTGAAAGTTCTAAGAAGCATTCATTTGTTTGGAATATGTGATTATGAATTAATTGTGAATTATGAATGAATGTTCTATGGGACCTTTTATTTGTTTAAATGGATGTCATTTCTCAGTCAGTGCTGTGCTTTAACAGCATGACTGGGCCCCCTCTGATGATGTCAGACGCTGCCACGATGGGAGGAAGTGACTGCCCCGGTCACTCCTCTCAGAAACTACCGGGAGCCGCAAGGGAGGAAGGAGAGGAGGGAGTCAGAGTGGGAACTCTTGACTCCCATCAGCCTGAGCCACTGGACTCCGGAGAAAGTCACCCTCCTGCACCTAAAAGGTAGGAAACAGGAGGGTGACTTAAACGTTTTGCATGTGTGTGTGTGTGTGTGTGTTTGTGTGTCTGTATGTATGTGTTTGTGTGTGTCTGTCTTTCTGCATGTATGTGCCATTGTCTGTATATGTCTGTCTGTTTGTGTCTGTGTGTATGTGTCTCTGTTTGTGTCTGTATGTATGTATCTGTAACTGTGTGTGTGTGTGTCTGTGTGTGTGTCTCAGTGTGTCTCTATGTATGTGCATCTGTATGTCTGTTTCTGTATGTTTGTGTCTACGTGTATGTGTCTGTGTTTGTGTCTATGTGTGTATCTGCATGTGTATCTGTTTGTCTGCATGTGGGGGGAGGGGTATATTAG